TTTTTCATAGTTTTATATCACATTAATTGATAAGATAGTTATTTTACTAGTTAAAAAACCACAAATAATACACACACACACACACACACATACATATATATATATATATATAGAGAGAGAGAGAGAGATGTATTAAGTTTTCTACTAATACAGAAACAACAACTAATTTCATTAATAGCTGTATTTATAAAGTTGTAACTATTAACCACTGAAGGTATGAAAATTATAGTAAGCAATCTGTTTGTAACATCTTGTAGCTGCAGAAGTTGTTACTAATGGACCCTACCAAAAGAATAACATCAGAGCAGTGTCTTCAAGATCCATACTTTATGGAAGATCCTCTTCCAACTCAAGAGTAAGTCTTCATTTTACTAACTTTCTAGTAAAATTGAGTTTATAAAAGTAGACAAATATTCCATTGTATGGACAATATGTGTATGCTTATACACACACACACACACACACGTTATTTGAAATAATTATGAAAATATGGAAGGTAACTTTATTTACGTATAATTGTGAAACATTGTTCTAGATGTACTGCATTCCTCTCGAAATTGAAAACAAATTGTGTTTGGTTGACATTTGGTTACATTTGCAGTGTGTGTGTGAGGTCACTATCTTTTTGGAAAATGAATTCCTGCCCAACAGATAGGGAATGACATGATAAATAAGAGTGTGCTTATACCTGTCAGCAGTCAGGGTACCATTACTTTAGTGTAGATTTCCAACACCATTGGCTGAGATGCAACCCACACTTGTATTTGTCTCTCTTTGTGGATGTTATACATTGTCTGAGATACTGTTTTCCTCTCTGCTGTCAAACATACTATAATTTATTGTGCTAAACAATATAAATTTGAATTCATATGTAAAGCACAATCTCTTGTGCCTTTGCCCATCCTATTTTTTTTATATCCAATGCCTATGGCAGCCTCTTGGTTTATTTATCTCTTTTAAGCAGTGATTTTTGCGTGGCTTCACATCCATTGGAGCTTCTTTATTTTTATGTTTATTTTACAGTTCTGGAAGTAACATGCACACCTGTACTTAAAGCTAAGTCATTGGAAAGATCTCTACTGTATTGACACGTATCATGTAAAGAGCATAACCTAAGTTACATAACATCACTTGAAGAGTTTTGACTCTTTATCATGACCACTTCTATTATCAGTAGTACTTGTTTCTAATACCCTCTACAGAGTTTCCATACAGTTCCTACTGAAACATGAAATTTTGCCTTAGTCTATTGCATGGATTAGCCTTCACCAGCCAAAACTTTAATTTTCTAAATATTTTTCATGCAGTATTTCTGTCCTGAGAGCCATTCATGGGTAAATTTGTTTAAAAAAAGTAGAGGTACACAGCTGGGTGAAGTGGACATGTTTTTGAAAAAGAAAAAAAATCTACGTGTAAACAAAAAACAACAACAAAGTAGCTCAAATAAGTTCCGGTACTTAGTACCAGTGAGTGCCAACAGAACTTCAACCCTGAAGCCATTCATACCTTCACTATACTACAACTGAAAATAATGTGACAACCTGTATTTTTATAGGTATTATGCTGGTGTGGCATTGTCTGATTGGTCAGATGACAGTCAGTCACCGTGTAAACTATCAACATGTGAATGTACTCCGATCAATTTTAATTTCATACCTTTTACTTACTGTTTTCTACCTACTACATCATATTGAGTAATTCTATGTTTTTTGCACATTACAACACTCAATATAACTAACCAAAAAAATGTTATGAAATCAATCATTTTTTATGTAAAATATGTAATTAACAAGATAGATTGCAATATTGATGGTATTTTGTAACATTTTTTGTGATTCTGATGTTATTAGGGAGTTTGTAACCAAAAAATTAGGGACCCACAAGCAGTTTGGTGCATAAATAGTTTTAAAAATTTGTACAAAAAGCTGATGGGTTTCCTTGTAAATTAACCTTATCAAAATGAATGAGCTCATTGTTGATTGCTCATTTAAATATCAGATTTCAACTTAAAAATAATAACTCTAATTATATTTCTAGAATTTTTAACTGAAAAATATGTTAGAATTAGTATTTTGTACTTTTTTGACATTTATTTAGTGAAATTCACAAAGAAAAATGAAAACAATTTTCAAACTTACATTTCTGTATGGTTCTCATGAGTCTTGCATGTAAAATATACTATAATTTTATTACCATAAATAAATATGTTTATATTTGCTGAAAAAAAAACAACTATTTATTATCCATTGAGAATGATACTAGCCATGTCTGGTTTCTTTTATGATTTTCTTTTTCTGTTTGATGTTTTATTATTTCAGCCCTCCTTTCTAACCATTTGTAATTTCATAGTGTGGTATTTTCAGGTAAAACAGATTTCCTAAAAGATAAATTAAGTAGTTCCACTATATATAACAGGAGACTCTGGTCTAAAACTGGTAGAATCTGTGCTAAGAATTAAATAGACTGGACACAAAGTGTGGTACACAATGAAAGCAATTCTATTCAAACACAAACATAGTGTGGTACTTGTATTTGACACTGGACAGTCACCTTTACTGTTATGAATTAATAAGATATATTTCGAAATTAACCTACTTACTAAAGATGATATTCTAGATTGTCTATATCTCATGTTATTTAGTTGAATTAGTAATGTTAGGCTTATACAGAGCAATTAGCACTACCCACATCTCTGGTCGTTCCCATTCGAACAGAAGGGAGGCTGTAACCTGGAGATATAACCTGACCTACCATTGGAGGACACTGCTGTCAACCTTTATGCACAAGGTGCATCTTTACAACTATATATTCCATGGACAGACCAGATGTTATCTTCATTGGAATGACAAAGAACAAAGGTAGCTAGAACAAAAATCCGATACAATTACTCATCTCTTTGCACAGACTAGCTGTTTCCCCTTGAAGTCACTCTATTCTGCCTTAGAGATTTTAATGCCACCAGCCTTGTGAAATTGCCACCTAAAATTCATGGGAAAACACGTGGATTTGTGCTACTGTGTAATGATATATCATTCAGCAAAACCTTCCACCAATAGGAGTGCAACACACTTCCTTGCACAAATGATCCCTCTACATTCATGTATAAAATCCTCATTCATTTCCTTGGCACAGTCGTGTTAAGACGTGTTTATTTTTGCTAAGACTTGTTCAGGTACATACTTCAACAACTTTCCTTTGTATTTTCAACTTTTCAGTATGAATTCACAGATTGATGTGAATTCTTTTTCTGCCTATGTGAATGCAAAAATCACTTACAATTTAGGAAGTTCATTTAGCTAGTTGAGATCATTATGACAGCCATCATGTATTGCAAAAGGTGCTGTCAAGGTTGACAAATACAATAAGAAAAAAGAGTAATGAAACATCATCCATGTTGTCACTTGGGCCCTTTTCTTTCTTCCCTGCCACACATTTCCTTTCAAAGATTTTGAAGCTGAAGTTGAGGAGGAAGAAAGGTAGTGACTTTCCACGCAATGTTTCTCCACCTAATGAATATCTCTCAACTTTTCTCTCTTGTTAGTTGTTTTTCACATGTATCACATTGTTTTTGATATTTTGTTCTGGTTTATTTATCCTTAACCCTTTCACAATGGGCATCCTTTACTGTGCTTATCATGAGGTTTTAGTGACTTACATTAAAAATTTATTTAAAATACTTTTTGTTTATGTTATACCAATAAGTATAGCATAAAATTGTAGCTAATAATCCATATCTTAATAGTATACAAGTTTTAAATTCTTAATTTTATAAGGCAATATTTAAAAAAAAATCTTGAATTTTCCCTAGTGTGATAAATGTCCCTCTTCTGTAATTTTTTCACCACCCCTCCAATAAGTACGAAATTTAATGTAAATTACTCACTGTGATATCATCATTGCTCAGACAAAACATAATTTTTATAGCCTTCAATCTTGTTTGGTTTCAGAGCCATCAAATAGAAAATCAGAACCCTCTTGCTACACCCACCTGTCACATCATCTCTTTCAGGATTTGTTAATATTTCTCTCTTATGTTTAATATTATATTATTTATAACCAATAAAAAGCTAAGGTTTTCATCTACCAAATGCCATATTTTATTACAAGCTTTGTTCCCATGGGAAAATATCGACCAGCATTGATGAATTTGTAACAGCTCTGGTCGCATAGTTAGGAAGCCAGAAAAATTGTAATAGTTAGAGGATATTGTCTGCTTTTTGCATGTTATTATTCAATGTTTTTTGGTGCATTATTTAATTAAATAAAAATTTAGTCCATTACTGCCATTAGTATAAAAAAACATAGGGTTAAGTATCATCGACAATCGACAGCAAAAAAAGACGACCGGGGTAAGTACTTTATTTCTAGTTTTTCATCTCTATTCGTTATTTATTATTATAAAAGTAACTAAAATGTAAAAATAGGAATCTTTTTTAGGTTAGTCAAAGTTAGATTAGGTAAAATAAATAATATTATAAAAAAAAAGGTTCTACGAGGCATGCATGCGAGCAGCTCGGAGTAGCTTGTGGGTAATATAATTCGATAGGATAACATGAGCTCCACATTCCTCTAGTGATTTACAACTTATAATGGCACAAATAATAGTTAGACACAGTTCAGCGGCAATAAAACAATGAAATTTAAGTACAAATAGATGTATACTGTTACAAGTTGAAAGCTACTTAGGATAAATGAATGTAGTTTCATGTTACAGCTTGAAGTCACTCTAGTTGAGATTGTTCAAACCTTATATAGAGTTAGGGTAGAACTGTAGAAAAAATAACAGATTAAACATAAAGTGTTATGGAAAACAAATATTTGAAATGTACTTAGGAGGTTTTAGAGATTACGCAAATGAAATTTGAGATTTTTGAGATGAAAAGAATTTTTAATCTTAACATGAAAATCATCTCAAAAATTTCAGATTTCTTTTATGTAATCCCTAAAATCTCATGAATGCATTTCAAACATTTTTTTTTCAGTAAAAGTTTATAGTTTACCTTTTATTTTCTCTACTCTATCTCAAAACAGGATCGGTCAATTCGACTGACCTCATAACCACAAAAAAAACCCTACTAAACCTAAATTACTCTTTTTTTTCTTTATAGAATGACTTCAAATTGTAACATGAAACTACATTTGTTTATCCTAAGTAGCTTTAAGTTCATAATGGTATATATCTATTTATAATCAAATTTTATTGTTTTATTGCCCTTTGAGCCATGTCTAACTACTATCTGTGCCATTATAAGTTGTAAATCATTAGGGGAACGTGCAGCTCACATTACACAATTGAATTATGTTACTCACGAGCTACTATTTTAATTATATTATTATTATTATTACTTATTTTACCTAATCTAGTCTTAAATAACTTTAAAAGATCCGTATTTTTAGATTTTAGTTACTTTTATAATAATAAATAAAGAATAAATATGAAAAGAAATAAAGTTTGATAGCTCTCTATCCAAACAAAATTGAAGGTTATAAAAATTATGATTTGTCTGAGCAATAATAATATTATAGAGTGTAAATTACGTTTAATTTCATACTTTTTCGAGGGATGGTGGATAAAATAGGGATGATGACATGCAAAGAGAAATGTGTCACGTGGGTCACACTAATGGAAGTTCAGGATTTATTTTTATATTGTCTTGTAGAATTAAGAACTTAAAACTTGTATACTTTTAAAATATGGATTATTAGCTAATATTTTATGCTATTCTAATTGGTATAACATAAACAAAAAAATAGTTGAATAAATCGTTGAATGTAAGACGCTAAAACCTTGTGTCATGAGCAGTAAAGGATACTCGTGGCGATAGGGTTAACACAAATACCTAGAAGATAATTGCTAGTTTTTGTTCATTACTTCTTCACTTGTACACATGGAAGGTAAGGTTTCATCTTGGTTCATTATTCCTTGCCACGTATACAGCCATTTTAATCTTTAGTTTTACTCTTCTTACTCCTTAACGTGTCCACATAGAAGATGATGTTAATTCCTCCTTACCATTTCCCCTTTAGAATATCATGTTTGATCATGGTTCATTGAACCTTTCTGTATACACAACAGTTGATGTTTAGAAATAGTTGTGTATTCTTAAGATGTATATTTAGATGTTATTGTTTACTTCTAGTTAATTACTTCTTCATACATAACACACAGAATATGTTGTTTAGTCATAATTTCTTACTCCTTATGTCACTTGGAAGATAATGTTTACTCATAGTTAATTACTCCTTAAAAAATAGACTTAGTGGGTACTGTTTACTCATAGTTAATTACTCCTTAAAAAGTAGACTTAGTGGGTACTGTTTACTCATAGTTAATTACTCCTTAAAAAGTAGACTTAGTGGGTACTGTTTACTCATAGTTAATTACTCTTTAATACGTACATACGATAGATGATGCTTTGATCTATTTCCTCTTTATCATGCTTACTTAGACATGCATGTGTAGTTCTCTTTCATTATTCCTTAACATGTATGCATAGGAGATACTATTTCAACATAATTTATTCTTCCTTAGCTTGCAATACTTTGACGATGATATATAGGCTTCATTCATACTTCTTAACATGTCTACTCATTGATTAATGTTTTGTCACAGTTTTTTACTGCTTATTGTGTGCCCATGGATGGTAATGTTTAGTTCTCATCCATTACTCCTTGACAAGTCACACATAGACAATAATATTTTGTTATAGTTCTTTACTCCTTCACATGTCCAAGTAGACTATAATGATCAGATGTAGTTCATTACTACTTTATGTATACTTAGAAGATAAGGTTTAGATATGATTGCTTTTTCCTTACAGTGTCACCCATAATCAATGTTTTGATGTGGCTACTCATTCTGTTACATGTAATCCAAGTAGATAATGTTTACTCTTCTTTCTTTACTCCTTTACATATACATATAAAAGATAGTGTTCAGACTTGGTTCTGGGCCTGTGCCATTCAAATGTGTTCATAAACTGTCCTGTTCTAGGGGCACTACACATCATTGTGGGCTGTCTTCTTCACATGACCATGTCCTGTCCACAGGATTGGTTCCTCACCCACTGGTCTGTTGATCTCCCTTTTCATTGTTCGTCCTCCTTTTGTTGCCTTTCCACTCTCCTCTTTTCTAACTTCTTCCTTTCTGGTCTCCTGTACCTCAATCCTCAGTCTTAGCTGTCTATACCTTCAGTCTGGTCTATCCCATCTTTTTTTTTCTTCTATGCATGTCCTCCTTTCCATCTCCTCCCTCAGGTTCTTGCTCAGTTTTGGGACAACTCTTAAGGGGTCTCTTTGGAGACCCTTCACAATCTATCCAAACCTTGTTTCTATTACTCCTCTTCCTTAAGTCTCATCCTGGTTTCCCCTTCCCAACTTTCCATCCATTCTGAATCGCCTTCACATATTGTTCTTTATGCCTGTGAGATTGTCCATTTCACCTCCCTGATCACGTAGTTGTTCCTTTGTCCCACTCCTGTCATCCTTGTACCTTTTTGGTATGCTGACAAACAGTACATATTTCTCACCTTGATCTCATTGTCACTATTCCCTTTGACTTCATTACATTTTAACAGATCCTTCTATTTCATGGGATGGTTCTCTCATGATCTGTAACTCTCTTCTATCTTGGGTTTTTAGGTGGCATTTACCTCACCTTCTGCTGATGTCACAGTTTCCTTTCTTCTCAGCCTCTTTTCTACCCTCTTTAATTCCTTCCTTATACACTGCCCCCCTCTACTTCTTGCCTGAATATATTATCATTTTGATTCTTCATGCTCTTACCTGGGTCCCTAACAAACCTCTAGCAGATGCATCTGCTCTCCCTTGACTCATGAGTCCTATACCTCCTTACCAT